CACTTGGATTTGAGAAAGTCAGTCAATTTTATGTACAAAACTCTCTCAATGATCTTGGAAGCAAATGGTAGTAGCAAGACAAGGCGGTAGTTGGAAGTGGAGTTAAGGTCAAAGTTGGGCTTTTTCAATATCGGAATTCCGGTTGCATGTTTGAAGGGTGAAGGAAATATGCCAAACGAGAGGAAAGATTGAATATTTTAGTGAGAGGCAGAGCAAGAGAAGGAGACAAAGTATGAATGAGGTGGTAGGGCTGGAGGACTGGAGCAGAGCAGAAACCTCTTCTGCTGTAGTGGGTTTGAATGAGCATAGAACAGCAGAGGATATGGGGTTGGAGGAGGTATTGGTAGGGAAAGGCGAGAGGTGAGAAGTGAGTAGCAAAGTTAGTGGTTTTGTAAGTATCTTCTCAGTGAAGTGAGTAGCAAAGTTAGTGGTGTTCAAGTTGGTAGGAGGAGGAGCAAAAGGGTGCAAGAGAGAGTTAAAAGTGTGAAAGGGGCATTTGGGTTCCTGGGAGAGTGTGGTTATAAGGGCATTGAGTAGTTTTCTTTTGCAGAAGAAAGAGCCAAGCTGTTCGAGCATAGCATAAATTTATAGTAGAGGAAGTCAGTTGCAGAATGAAACTTTCACCAGCAGCGTTCAGCAGTTGGAGCATTTTTTGGCATTTCAGATCAGCTTGGTTTTCCAAGGTTGTCACTAGGGATGCTTGCTACATTTAAATATAGAAGGGCCATGGTATTTAGTTGAGAGGAGAGGGTCAAGTTGTAGAGGAAGGTTGCAGAGTTAGTGCAGATGAAGTTTAAGATAGGTAAAAGAAAAGTTTGGACGGTAGTGGAGAATCCCTGTAGGTCAAGACAGTGGAGATTTCTGTGAGACTGATGTGCCGAGGATGGTATACTTTGGACACGGGTATGCTGAAATTAAAGGTCAGTAGAAAGTGGTCAGATAGAGGAAACAGCATTGGAGAGATTAGAAGTGGTACAGAGATTGTTGAAGATGAAATGTAGAGTGCTTGCCGCTGTATTGCTGAGTTAGATCATTGTGTGAGGCCAAAGGAGGAGGTTACAAAGAGCAGACAAGAGGCATCAGTGCAGTTGGGGTTGTTGATTGGGATAGTAAAGACCCAGAGTATGAGGTAAGGAATGGTAGAGGAGAGGAAGTTACACACACTTTTTGAACACCTCACACGAATTAAACAATTCACACACTCACAGATTGCATCCCTCATATACACATTCATTGCATCCCTCACACACTCCTCCCCAAACACACACATTTAACCCCTCATACACAGCAATGTGTACACACACTCATTGAACACCTCACACACATTGAACAGCACGCACACACACACACACTGGATTACTCACACATACTGCACCCCTCACAAACCCATTGCACTCTCACACACAGATAGTACCTCTCACACACTGCCCCTTTCACACACTCATTGAACAACTCTAACACACATTAAATCCCTCACACACAAGCACTGCAGTCCTCACACATACATTTCACCCCTCATAAACTAGATCCCCTTTAGACACTACATACCATGTATGTTACACACATTACAATCCAGACAAACACACTACATCCCTTATACACACACTGCACCACTTACACACAATACATTCCAGACAAACACACTCCATCCCTTATATACACTTTTGATCAATGACACACAAGCTCGATCCCTTACACACACTCTGAATTCTCTACACAAACACACACACTGCACCACCTACACAAATACTACATTCCTGATATACACACTCTGGATCCCCTATGCACATGCTTACTACATCCCCTTTGCACACCATGCCCACTATACACACATTTACCCTCTCACTCTGTTCAAATGCTATTCAAGCATTATACACCACAAACACGTGTTTACTTTTGGGGTATATGAAAAGATTGCTTGAAATAGCTGCAGGTCTAGTACCTGGCCTGCATCTACTGCAAGCCCTCCCTGGCACAGGCTGTCAGCCTCTGTAGTCTAGCTGTGTGCACGGCTTCTAATTCACACTTCTTAATGTGCTGTGCTGCAAGGTGAAGGTAAGTGCCCTCTATCCAAAACCACCTGCCTCTTCCTTTGATTCAGTGGAGCTTACAGAAGCAAGAAACTGATTTACAGCTGTTGTAGTAATTTAGAATAGTGCCTGTTATCTTACACAAATAAAGCAATTCAGCAACTGTGTTTAGAGTGTACCTTCAATCCATTATTGCAAGTGTTAAAGCGACACGCCACTGGCCAAATACATTAAAATGATGTTTTGGTAGATATAACCCCTAATGAAAACACGCATGTGTTTAATTATTAATTTTTTTCATGGGGTTTATTTAAAAACAGCTTGCAAAAGTTGCAGATCTCTTATCTGAAGTGTTTGCAAGCCCTCCCCTTCTCACCCTGCCCAGACATTCTTGGGCTTTCTAATCACAGAAAGTCTTTGCAAGGCAGGTACTCTGGGAAATTGATGCCTCTTGAGTTTAGCTTCACTCAGCTAACCAAACCAGGAAGTAACAGGACTAGGTATCTGATTGACAGCCAGGGGGTGTAACAAGGTTAATTTATAAAAGTGCCAATTTCTATTGGAATCTGCACCTTTTGTAAAATGAAAAAAAGAGAACACACTGTTCACATAAAGCACATCTGAGTAAGCTGGGGTGCTTTGGGGGCCCGGAGTGTCCCTTTAATATGGAGATTGGGAACATACAGGGTTATTTACTAAAGTAAGAATTTGGGGGGATTCAAAGTGAATTTGAAATCAAAATCTAAAACCGGCTGATTTGGGCAATTATTTTTCACTTTGACTATTTTGGCCTTATATTTCCTGTAATCAATCAATCAAAACAGTTTAACTCTATGTTTGTCTCATGGCAGATTATTCTCTAAGCACCATATTCTGCCCTAATAAAATTAAGTAAAAATGACCAGATTCCAACTGGGTTCAAATTGTCACATTTACTAACTGAATGAGCACCATCCTGACATTTATCATGTATCATGTTTAAACTGAGTTTGGGCTGAATGCATCTGGTGACATGAACATTCAAAAATTTTCAGTCTCTTGCTTTTTGCAAGAGAATATTTAAAGACTATTTGCCCACTGACAGCACTAGCCACAAGCAGGAAAATAGTTAGCTGACACTATAAAAAATGAAAAATGCACACCGGGTCAATACACCCCACCCCCCTCTCCTATATAAGTAATGGGAGAAACAAATTCTCACATATGCACCCACTTGACATGGCACAGGTTGGGGCATATCAACTACATAATGAGCAGGCAGAGGCTAGGCAGTGGGACAAGGTATTAGAATAAGGGGCGTCCAGTCTATGGTCTGCTCTTATTGCCCTCAGTGTCCAGTAGTAAAGAGGTTAAAAAAAAATTGTGATTTAATTAGTGAAAAAATTATTGTGTTCTTCAGAATAATAGTGAATCTGACATTGATAATCAATATATTTAGATTCGTAGGATTGTCCACTAACGTGAGAAAGTTAGGGAACAGACAGAGGGATTACTACAGTCTGTCCAAAATATGGGTGCTGCAAAAAAAAAAAAAGAAGAAAATTGTTAATATATTTCCAAACTGTTTCTATTGGTGTGAATTTGGAATTCCCTTGCAAAATTCTCCATAATTTAAATTGTAATGACCAACCATAATAGACATACATTCTCCTTATGGCAACCCTCTTGATATTTTGTGACTAGAATTTAACTGTTTGCTTGTAACTAAAACTTTCCATGCCTTGTACATTTTGCAATCTGGGTCCTTTCCAGCCTTATAAGCTTACTCTTATACAATAATACCAATCGGCACTGTGCATTTAATCAATACTCAAGAGACAACATTATCCACTGTTCCTGGATCCATGGATCCATTCTCTAGCTGATGCATATTTCTAAGGAGAGAAATGTTTGTTCATGTATTTTTGCTTACGTTACCTCTGTGTCTGTGTAGCCAAGTAAACCACAGATGTTGTTCACACTGAATTTTGAAAAAAAAAGAAAATAAAAACACAAACTTGGCTAAAATGCTTCCAAGTACAGTTCTGTAATACACAAAACAATCTCTATATAATTTTGTGCCACACTGTGACAAAAAATAGTAATTTACTAATTCTGTTATTAATGAGGTGACAACGAATTACAAGGAAACAGTAAACATTTGTACGAGTTTAAAAATACTTTGTAAACGTTTGTATTGCTTTCCAAATGTGTTACATAATTGCTATGCATAGGCAATATTGTAGAGGTTAATCACTTGCAGTGTTATTTGCTAAAGTGATAAGTTTCAGGAATTCAAAGTGAATTTCACATTTAAAGCCAAAGTAGCTGAGCTGGACATAAGGCAGACGTAGAGATTTTTTTCCAGTTTGTCTACATTGGCCTTAAAGGGACGAGTATCACTTTGAGACAACTGTCCTATTGAAAAGCTGTATCTTTGAATGAGACCACTGCCTAATTCTGCACGGTGAAAAATCATGTAACTATGATTTTTTTCATATTTATGTGGTTCTTCCTTATGCTTTCCACACCCACTCCAGAGGGGACACAGATCTAACCAATCAGTGTCCTGTCCCTGGGAATACTGGAAAAGTGCCTTGACATTGGCATGCCTGACAGATTTACGCATTTGCAATTGGATGATTGCCTTACAAGGAATATCCTCACAGGGGCAGGACTCTTATCAGTGTGATTCATGTAGAGCAGGCTATGGTGTCATGTTTCTCTGTCCTACATCTGCACAATGATGCGCTGTTCCTGTCATTAGTGGCCTGGTCTGAAACTGAGATGGGTGTGTAAGAGAATGATGGTAGAATGTTGGAAAATCTCCCAGAGCTGAAAAGTGTGCCCAACAATGCAATCTGGCAAAGTTTATAGTAAGTTTTAAAAAATGTTTATTACGTACTTTTCAAAGTTATTCTGTGCCAGATGATTTATTTCTAATAATGACACCGTTGATATAACTAAAATTCAATGGGAACATTGCAGTGCATTAGCAAAAAAGAGGGGAAGAACCAATACGCACATGTGGGACCCATTCAAAATGGTATATTTGTCTTGCAGTCTAGTTTTTAATTCACTACAATTTAGTGTTCAGTGAAAAAACATCTTGGTGAACTTAGCCAATTGTTTAGCAGCTTCCATTACTAATTTAGAAATAATTATTGAAATGAATTATGTGTGAGTATTCCAAGTTGGACTATTTAAAGGGACACTCCGGATCTCTAAAGGACTTCAGCTCAAGTGGTTTACGTGTGAAGAGTGTGTCCTCTTTTTCATTCTACAAAAAGAGCAGATTTCAAAAGAAATTGGCACCTTTATAAATTAGCCTTGTTACACCCCCTTCATTTTTTATCTTCCTTTTTTTGGTGTGTTATATATTGAATGAATGTATACCTTTATGCAAAATGGCACCCGGAGGAATATAGGGCTATAAAATTAAGAAGAATTACTTTTTGGGATATGCACCTTTGATTATCTTTAAAGGAACACTATAGTCACCTAAATTACTTTAGCTAAATAAAGCAGTTTTAGTGTATAGATTATTCCCCTGCAATTTCACTGCTCAATTCACTGTCATTTAGGAGTTAAATCACTTTGTTTATGTATATGCAGCCCTAGCCACACCTCCCCTGGCTATGATTTTCAAACAGATGTAATTTACCTTAAATAATTGTATCTCAATCTCTAAATTGAACTTTAATCACATACAGGAGGCTCTTGCAGGATCTAGCAAGCTATTAACATAGCAGGGGATAAGAAAATCTTAATTAAACAGAACTTGCAATAAAGAAAGCCTAAATAGGGCTCTCTTTACAGGAAGTGTTTATGGAAGGCTGTGCAAGTCACATGCAGGGAGGTGTGACTAGAGTTCATAAACAAAGGGATTTAACTCCTAAATGGCAGAGGATTGAGCAGTGAGGCTGCAGGGGCATGTTCTATACACCAAAACTGCTTCATTAAGCTAAAGTTGTTCAGGTGACTATAGTGTCCCTTTAAGGCATATATTGTATTCAAGACCTAAAGACAGGAAATATATGCACCGCCATGTTGCCGAGGACTGATGGTGCAGGGTGTGTGTAATTGTTAATTGTTTGTGTTCTCTCCTGTCCTGCTGATGCTTGCTACCAATTAGGAGGATTTGGCTATGGAGCCTATGCAGAGCCCTCTGTTGGCTGCAGCAACAGCTATATGCACTACCCGAATAGGAAGGCTTGCTAATTTGCATATTCAGTTAGATTTGCATATTGCTAATTCTGCAGTCAGGAGACATATTTTGTGTTAATTATTATCTTCCCTACCCCATTATAAATATGTTATTGTGTTAGAATAAGTTGCTGTATGTTGTCTGCTATTATTTGGTTATTTGTATTTTATTTAAGTTGTGTGAGGGGCAAATAAGGCCGTATAGGAATTAAAGGGAAAATGAGTCGGTTGAGGTGTGCCGGAACCGACGTCGTGGTAGGCCTGTAATAAAAGAGGGCAAAAATTGGATACCTGTCAGAAAAACAATCAACAAAACCTAATTGCCTAGCTATATGGTAAATGCCGAGCAAGTAAATAGTGGCCCAGCGCTTTTAACCGGCACTCTTAATCATGCAAGGGGAAGTAAGGTATGGTAAACATGTTGGCCCTCTAGGGTAGACTAAGTGTGGGGGTAGAGAAGGTAAACAATAGACTGCATTAATAGGTGAGATTTCCTGAGATAATGCTACAAGAAGGACGTGGTGGCTGTGGGAAAGCATGTGATACCCAAGAAACTGTGGGAACAGGTATAGCGGCTCAACAACTAGATTACATAGTTTAAGTGAATAGTTCCCACCAAGTACAAAACGGTTGATCCAAAAGAAGGCGAAAAACCCAGTTTGAAGCGCTGCCAATTTGCCACAAGCTTGGGAAAAATTCCTTCTTGACCCCATAATGGCGGTCAGATTTCCTTGGATCAAGCAGTTATTGCCCTACATTGAAAGTTGATGCCCGGTTCGTAGTGTCAGGCCTTTAATAGGTCTGATAGTGGTTGAGATACTTGGATGTTAATGTGAAGTCTGTAAATTAGAAATTTCCCAGAACCCGAAACGCCTTGAGTATGGTATGAGGACATGAAAACTGCGTATGAATGGTAAACCTGTACAACATGTGGAGTTGTAAACCGGATAGGTAGAGTTGATGCATGTTAGAGGTGGCAAAAAAAGCAAAACCAAAACGCAGACAACATAGCAACAGATACAGTAGCAGTATACACGAAGAAGGAGCCTCAAAGGGGAAGAAGGCCCTAACACACATATCGCGAGTGTGGAAAAAGAGCCAGATGTGAAAAGATGACGACCATGAGGTTGCAAGGCTGGCAGCCTGTGGTTGGGCCCTAAAACGCAGGGAACGGCAGTGGCTACGGGAGACTAGGAGTAACCGAAACTCCTGAGCGCGATGAGTATCAGACCTAGCCAGAGAGCTCAGGCGGAGAAAACCACGCTAATCGCTAAGCAGCGGAGACCTGCTATAAAAAGAGACGAATAAAAACAGCGCATAAGCGACCCAATGTGCGCATGAGTGAGAAAGTGTGTGAGTGTGCGTGCTGGCATACTAGCTAATGCCAAAAGGCGTAGCAATTAAAAACTAGGTTTGGTGACAGGTGAGGCCCTGCTAGATGCCAAGCGACGAGAGAGGCTCTATCTAAGAGTTGGCGCGAGGGGATAACGTGGCCACTGAACGTTGTGGCGGGGTGTCGGCCTCTCGGTGACGGCTAAACATAAGATAGAATGGGAGTGACAGGTGAGGCCCTCCCTATGCCACAATGCGAGGCAACTAACTATGATTTGGCCTGAGGGCGTAGTACCTCAGAGTATGAGGATGGGTGTTGGCCTCGCGGGACCACTAACCTAAGGCGAAGAAGCCAGGGGGAGAATTACCAACTAGTGGACACCTAGGACCCTGACAGCCAGCCACAGCTAACTAAGAGGGGAGGTGTGATGCTTTTGTGTAATGTCTCTTTAATTTGGAACTCAACTGCAGAAACAATAAGTTTCACCTCCTTTATTTTATTGAATTGAACAAGGTAGACTGTATCTTTAAATACACATGCAAGGAAAAATGCAATGCTTATTTGTCAACAGAGAGTTTAAAGAAAATAAATACTATAATAATTTTATATGACTTGCTTTCCTTGAAAAAAGATTTACTTAACTTAGAAGCACTCTGGCACTGGAAGGGTTAATTCACCCAATGGAGGAAGAGGAAGGAGTCTCTTTTAACAAACTGCAGTTTAGTAGTGAGAGAAGGAAGTCCGTTTGTCCAAGCCGAGGTCTGAGAGATGAGAAGGTAGAAATCCGTTTACAAGCCGAGGTCTGGGAGAGGAGAAGGCAGAATTCCGTTTATAAGCCGAGGTCTGAGAGATGAGAAGGTAGAAATCCGTTTACAACCCGAGGTCTGAGAGATGAGAAGGTAGAAATCCGTTTACAACCCGAGGTCTGAGACAGGAGCCGGTAGCATCGAGTAGAGCAGCTGATCTTACTGCCGCACCTGAGTGAATAATCCAGCCCTTTGAATCTGGCGCGGTCTTCCTAAGTATCGTGGAAAGACCGCGTCAGAAAAAAGGGCGGAGCTAAGCGCCGTGAACCCGGAAGTGGGTTCCGGCGGCAGCATGACTGTTAGGTATACCTGACAGTACCCCCTTCTCATGGGGCATCCTCTGGGTGCACTTATTTCGGTTTAGAGGGGTAGCGTTTGTGAAAAGCATCAACTAATCTCTTTGCATGAACATTAGATGAATCTTCCCAGGTATCTTCATTAATTCCATAACCTTTCCATCTGATAAGGTATTGTAAAGAGCCACGGTGGATACGAGAATCCAAAATCTTATGAATTTCATATTCTTCTTCACCTTGGACGATGATAGGTTCAGGAGTTGTTACTATTTCTCTATGGAAAGGATCAGGGATGTGTGGTTTAAGCAAAGAGACATGGAATACTGGATGAAGTTTAAAACTTGGAGGAAGTTTTAATTTAACAACGTTATCATTGATGATTGTAGTTATTTGAAAAGGACCAAGAAAAAGAGAGCTCAATTTCTTTGAAGGACAGTTTGTGGTAATATTTTTTGAAGAGAGCCAGACAAGATCCCCCACTTTATAAGGAGGGGGAATTCTTCTTTTATGGTCAAAAAACTTTTTCTGGTAGTTTTGGGCGAGTTGAAGATTCTCCCGTAATTTAAGGAATAGAGAAGACATAAATTCATTTTTTGAAGTAACCGTGGGATTGGATGAAGAATTAGATGGGATGGGAAATGAGGACGGATGAAAACCATAGTTGCAGAAAAAAGGAGTCATTTTCGTACTAGAATGAATGGTATTATTGTAAGAAAATTCAGCCATAGGTAACCAAGTGGTCCAGTCATCTTGCAGGTATGAACAATAACATCGGAGATATTGTTCCAAACATTGATTAACTCTCTCTGTTTGCCCATTAGTCTGGGGATGATAGGCAGAAGAGAGTTTGCGTTGAATTTGAAGAGAGAGACACATCTCTTTCCAGAATTTGGAGGTAAATTGTGTCCCCCTATCAGAAATAATTTCTTCTGGAAGACCATGAAGCTTTACAATATTATCAATAAAGACTTTGGACAATTCTACGGAGGAGGGTAATTTTTTTAAAGAGATGAAATGGGACATTTTAGTGAAGCGGTCCACAACAACAAGAATAGTGGTGAACTGTCGGGATGGAGGAAGGTCAACAAGAAAATCCATAGAAATGGATTGCCAAGGTTTTTCTGGAATAGGTAAGTTAAGTAGTAATCCAAAAGGTTGATTATGTTCAGATTTGGACCTTTGACAGATAGGACAAGTTTTGACATATAATTCAATGGTTCTATCTTGGTGAGGCCACCAATAATATCGTGAAGTTAGTTCAAGAGTTTTCTTTATTCCAGGATGTCCAGCTAGGGGTGAATCATGAACCATTTTAAGTAATTTGTTCCTAAGAATGGGAGGAATATAAATCCTATTTTTGAAGTAAAATACACCATCCTTTTTTGTTAAATTAGGTGTTTTGGGAAGTTCAAGATCCTTTTGATTCAAGTTCCTTAAGTCATCCTGAAGAGAAGAGAGGATCCCTATTATTTTGTTAGGAGGATAAACTTCAATAGAAGTTTTAGAAGGAATTCGAGAAAGAGCGTCAGCCTTTTTATTTCTAGTTCCAGGTCTGTATATTAATTGGAAGTTAAACCGGTTAAAAAATAGGTTCCATCTAACTTG